ATGCGGGAGCCATTTGAAGTAAATGCTATGTGTAAAGCATAAAATACAAATAAAAATAAAAAAAAGTCAAATAATGGAAATGGTTACATTATTTTGTTCAACTGCGAAAGGGTAATGAAGAATTGGTAAGGTCCTGTTAGGGTATCCCCATTACGAGTAGTTGAGACGATGCAGTTATAATTTCTCTGCTTCGAGTAAGAAGACGACATTGCCCGACAGTGGTAAACAATCAGGTACTGGGACAGTTCTGCAATGCCGGATAGTGTCCTGTGGTCCATGGCCAACGCTTCGGACCGACTGGCAGTTACTGTTTTCTAGTCTTCAGCATTCAAATGGATCGATGCAGAAGGTAGCTGAATATCAACCCCTATTATCTGTTAAGATCCACCATGCTATTCAACAACGAAGAAGTTTCGGTTTGATAATTCTCTTCCCGGAATGAATAGATATCTTACTTCCATTAGGAACTGCAGCGAAACCTGAATGCGGCCTGGTCTATTCAAGGATTTGCGGAGGCCAGCGATGTCCAGGGAGTCCAATGCTCTTATCCTGCCACAGCCTGGTACAAGCCCGACAGCAGTTATTTAACTCGAGGAAGTGGAAAATTTCGTTGGTCTTGGTGAGATTTTATCAAAGATTTGACTCTTGATAGTGGGTGCGGTGAGCGGCGTTACTGTAACTTCTTAAGACGGAATATAAAATGTGCAGAAAGGATCGAGAGGAGATTACAACAGGTTGTAAGAAGCTGCTCAATTCGGCCGCTTGCAACAATCCAAAAAGGGTCTCAAGCGACTTGACCGCCGTCGGTGTCACTCATCCGCTAATCTTGGCACCAATTACCGTAACCACGGTGCTTTTGATTTACGAGTGCGCTTTGACGGGCGTCAGAAGAGACGGCGGCGACGCAGCAGCGACCACGGTACGAGCGGTGTCCTTTTGTGGCGATGTTGTCATTTTTGACGGCGGCAGCAATTTATTATTTCAAGATAGGATCGCGCGGTGCGACGTGCACGCCACACAATGACGCGGCAATTCGGTTCAAAGGTGAAGCTTACAGTTTTCGACGTTACAAGTTGCCGCCTGCAGTCAATAGCGGCGGAAACGAGCCAGGCGAGAAAGGCCATGAACTTTTACCCAACGTCACGCCGCCAAACATTCTGACTCGGACCGGAAAGCTTCTCATGGACCTCACACTTTGTCTAAAAGGTTCGAGCCCGTCTTGCAGGACTACAGGTCGTACCGTAAAGCAGATTCTGCAGATATATGCTTCAACAAAAAAGTGAAACAGGAGTAAGCAAAACGTGTATTAATGAATGGCCTGATTCGGTAATAATCAACGATAAGTACTTCATTGTCTTGGCATCGATTTTACTGGTGCTTTCTGGAGACACCATGTTTTTTACTGAGCGATATGGCGGTGAAAATAATTGCTTAGTTAATGCAAGATCAGGTAAACGAATGTTGATGTAACCAATTACCTCTCAATGATCATCATTTTAAGCGTCCTGCTGCAGAAGGAACGAAAATGGAACAGCAATAAAAGGACGGCGGCAAGCACAGGGACCTTTCTGTGAAGTTATTACGAATAAATTTAGCAGTTTGACTACCTGATACTCACAAGCATTTAGCATCAAATTTAATAAAGAAATTTTTTTGAATTCTGACCAAGGGAGCGTGTGGGATCAACAGACTTGTATCAGCAATCTTTGAACCAGATCAGATCTGTTTCACATTTCCTGTTAATAGCCTGCTCCTTAACAGCCCCTGCGAGAGTTCGTCGCGGCAGAAAGTCCATCATCTCCATCTAGTATTCAAAATCAGATTTGAAATGCAAATTCTATCAGGTCTACCCGTAAGTAAACGAAGGCACAAAAAAATACGATTCCGACTCTCCATGTAGATGGCCTCAAAGGTACGGATAGCGATCAAACTGTGGCGTTTGTTGTTCAAAATGAACAGGAGTGTGCGAAGTAGGAACAGCCAAAGTGGGCAAGTCGAAGGCGGGAAATTGAAACACTGAAATTTGAGGCTATTTTTGCGGCTGTGCACTCGACCGTGTGGTAGCTTTTGTTTCTTGGGGCATGAGATGGGAGAAGTGGAAAGTGCAGAAAGAGCATGTCGGATCGTGCGAACGGTACGTATGGTTTCCAACGATAAGAATGGCGAGCGTGTGATGGATCGAAGAAAGGCATTAGAACTTCTTGACTGCGGTCTATTTGAATGACCAATACATTACCAGACTCCATTGCTCTATGGACGCTGCTGCCACAGCCATCTGTGAAATTGAGTTCCCCCTGAAAGACATAACCCGTACCTCTATGGGAGCTCTTGACCAGGAAGTATTTGCTCTATTTCGCATTTCTGACATCCATTACATTATCATTAGTACTGAAGATTACCTAGCAAACATGTACGGCTACCATCAAGTGTTCCTTTTGCACAAAGACGTTATAAACGACTGCTCAAGTAGATACATATCCCTCAAAGATCAGCCTTCACAGTGTGAAATTAAACGAGTTAAACACAACAGAAAAGAACGCCGAATGTGTTGTATCTCACTGCATGGGCCTTACATGTGACCTACTATCTCAATTCACTTTGACCTGAATTCGATCCGTGGACCATGATAGCAACAAGAACCTGCTCCGACAACATTCATTCCCTTCAACATTCACTCATTAGAAGAACATTTTTACCCTAAAATGAAGCGTTCCCAATATCTCTCAAGATCCCCAGACAATCAAACAGGTGTTCAATGAGAGGTCATCTCTGAACCCTGCAGGGAGGTTGACCGACCTTTCGACTCCTCTTATCCCTCAACAATTACCACTTGGAGCGCGAAAATGTGAGCAACAAACAATACGCTCTGATCGTACCGACGTCGTTGCGCAAGCGCCCAGGTTTGCGTCCGACGAGGCGCTCTTCGCACCATCAAAAAGAGCCACATCAAACGCAATGTTTGTTCGTCTTCGAACGATTAAGGCCATTTCAGCCCGTTAACGCTAAGATTCGTGGGTAACCTTGATGTGAAATGTTAGCAGCATCTGCAAGAGGAGGGGTTGATTCCTTTTTCGTCAAAACTTCCTTGGCTTAATTCACTAATTAAATTTGAATCGAAAATGTACTAATGTGACTCAACAAACTTAGTTAATTGAAGAGACCGGTGAAATCCTGCACTGCGAAATCTCCTATCACTCAGTTGGGAGTACAAAAAAGACAAGAATAGGCTGGGCACTCTGCGTTTCTGACCCTTGACACCTTCTGTGGAAGATACTTTTTTCACCCCAGATCCTACAAGACACAGGTTTCGTGCACATTCTGCAGTGTTAACATTTTAATGGAAAAATGTCTTAAATTCTGTAGAGTTTTGCTGTGACGGAATGTCCATCAAAAATATTTTTAAAATCTATGTGTATAAATGTGAGCCTTTTAAGTAGATTATGTAGTAGCCATGTTGGTTAGTCTGCACATATCGCTAAATCGTTGCTTATCATGAATGGAAACTCACGGCAAAGTGTTTTCTTTCTTGACAACTTGGAATGGAGATGAATTTCGATGATTCAGTGGATCGACGTTCATCTTGTTCGACGTGCCAAGGATGTTAGTGACGGTGTGTTTTATTTGAGGTTTTGATATGGGCACCTGAAATTCAAATATGAACTGTTTGTTTTCAGTGCTGTATTGACCACAGGTCACAAATGTCTTGCAATAAATTGTTCAGTTGAGTAACTTTTTTATATTTCGGTAATCGAAACAACAGTGCTACTTCAACCACGACCTGGAAGGCATAAGCATAAGTCGTGTGAACGATTCTCTTCGGTCAGTATGATAGACCCATAGAGGATGATCACGGATGTGGCATTCCTGTACCATATGTCCTCGAAGTGAGATGCAGCAGCTGTGGGCCGAGAGTAAACGAAAAAGGAAAAGAATCCTGTCGAAAACGCTCAGGTTAAGGAGCTCACTCACCTTCCTAAGTCGGCTGTGCTAAGGCAATGAGAGACTAAGCGCGGAGAGGAGAGTATGAGGCGAGAGCGCAACAGATGAGAGGGCACCAGACAACAGCCTGACTGAAGAAAAAAAATAATCCCTGCTGCTGCAGCTCGTTTGCAAGGTTCTAGCGTTCTTGTCGAGGAAATGCCACATTCTGCGATTGTCCTCTAGGGATCCATCCTACGGACCGAAGGAAATGGTTCATACGACTTCTGCCTGGGTTGCGCCTTTGATCTAAGCATTTCCGATGAATATTTCTTTTTTACCGCCGTCCCACTTCGCACCAATGCTGTCGAATTCGTGTGCATAAACCACGCCAGTAATCCCAGGGCACGCCTTCGAAGGGCAGCTCACGATCAGAGCGCAGCCAACTAGAGGTGGTCAGCGGTGCCGAGATGAAGAAAAATCATGCGAAACGACAAGCATCCAAGAAATGGGAGCACAGCTTCGCCTTTTAATTTCCACTTTTTTCCTTTGACATGACTTTCATCGATGCCGCCCTCGTCAACGTTTGCCTAGCCAAACGCGTCGATAGCGCCTCGAAGAGGGCCATGCTAGGTTGCCCGGGGCACATACTTCCCTTCGCTTGCGTGTGCAGACCTACTGGGTTCGCCTGTCTTCCCACTGGATAAGTCTTTCCCTTCACTGACTTGCGACCTTGTTGTGGATTCCTTCTTTCAGTTACTTTAAAATTTTGGTAAAGGCAACTTTTGAATTGGAGATGCTTGCATCAACGTCTGTGTATTTCAATCTATCAAAGTGCTTAATCCTATGAATACGAATTTCTGAAGACAAACGCACATTTTGAGGCTTGACCACCGGCTGAGGAATGAGCGGACCGCTTCGAGGCAGGGTCATCGGCGATTGCATGAAATCGGCAAAGCGTGCGGTCGTCCAGACAGGCTGAACAGATGGATTTTTAGTACAGAACATTGCTTTTGTTGCAGCTTGCACAAATTTAGACCTTACCGTTGTTGGTAGAACAATTGGCTGAAGCCCGGCGATCGGTACCGTAGACATTTGATAGTTGTTGCCAATCTTGACGGTGTATCGCTTGGCACCAGTCAACGGTGAGCTCAATGGTGACATGGAGAAGTTCCCAAACGAACGCTGAAATTAAGAGGGCCCTTTAAAAGTTAACGAATCTTAGCACAAGCTAGCGCCACGCTTCTACTTCCGTTCGCAATCGTAATACCATTTGAATATGATATAGCCTATGTAGCGACTTGTGGGACAAGCCAATGTACAAGCCTGTTTTTTCAAGGCAAGCCTTAGAATTAAGGTTCTAACAGGGGATCAGAAAACAATGGTGCTCGGCAGACATCCTACTGGGAACGCGCCATGCATGGGGTCTCCAATCAAACTAGTCCAAGCATTTGAAACGGTGCTTGCCCCGCAATATCAGGTAGTGGGTCAACCATACATAAAACCAACCTATAATCTGCCTTACAAAGCAATCTCAGACTAAACACAAAACAAGTTCACCTAACCATGAGGGGAACATTCTACCTTTTGGATCTTTGTGTGACCGGAGCTCCCACCCCTTGAGTTGCCTCCACCCGTAGGTGTGGGCGGAAAAGAATGCGAGAAAAATGCTTGCGAACCCATTGCTGACGCCTGGTTACTTAGTGAAATATGCCTTAAAAGTAAATACTAAGTGATCCGTTTGGTCTCCAATTAAAAGGAGAGACTGGGACTAGTACTGCAGGGATTTAATCAGTAACCCACATTTCTTCCATTTAGCGCAATTAATTAATGCACGTGTCACGTAACCCACACCCGTTAGGTCTCGCTATAACGTATTTGAAAAACAGATTGGCTAAAAACATTGCTTTTCACATTGGCTTCCTTTCAGAAACTTCCAAACCACTGTTCTTCATAAAATTACTAACCTGTGCCTGTGGTTTCGGCAGAACATGTCCGCTACTCGTCCTGGTCAAAGGGACGGCAGAAGGCTTTGTCGAGGTAGCGGTCATCGTCTTCGCTCCTGGACCCGACACTGGCCGCTGATGAAGCTCCGTCTCTTGCCGAAGACGCTCAGCTGCCAGCTCGGCAAACATCATCAGTGATGATGACGCTTGTGACATGAAGTCTTCTGATCTAAAGGGAGATCAATAATCAGTGAATCGCTGAGAGGAAAGATGCATATTTCAGAGGAGTGACGGTTAGGTCGAGTATCGGTTGTTATGGGTCGGTT